GACTTCAATTCCTCACTGTGTGGCTCACTCTGTAAGGTGGCTTGAGTATCCTTACAGCACGGCAGCTAGCTTCTCCCAAGCAAATGATCCAAGAGAGTGACCAAGACAGAGCCCCATTGTCTTTTGTGATTTAGTATTGGAAATGATATATCATAAGAAGCTAATCACTAAGTTTAGTCCACATTCAAAGAGAGAGAAGTTTTGTTTCCCCTCTTGAAGGGAATATTGTTATTGGTGGGGAGAGATCCTTCGCCCAACGTGTTGCTAGTGGGAATGGGCTTCTGGTGATATCCTGAGAAAAGGAATTTTCTGAGACTCAGCTGGAGGATAAGATATTGTAGAAAGCTTTATTTCTGTGGAATTAAACCCCTGACTTTCAAAGGTCCCATTTCCCTCAGTACCACCATAGAAGGCGTCTCCTTTTGCTTTTAGCAGAGCTAAAATCAAAGCCAGTGTCCAGAGTTTCCATTTCTTTTTCTTTTTTTTTTTTAAATATATCTTTATTGATTTCAGAGAGAGGAAAGGAGAAGGAGAGAGAGAGATAGAAACATCAATGATGAGAGAGTCATTGACCGAGCCCACAACCCGGGCATGTGCCCTGACCGGGAATCGAACCCAATCGCCTGGATCCTAGGCCCATGCTCAACCGCTGAGCCACGCCCGGTCGGGCCAAAGTTTCCATTTCATGTTGGGATACAGTCTAATCCAGCATCAGGCTAGCTTAGTTTGTGTTCCCAGTTGCAGTCCATTAGTCCATTGCATGTGGGGTTCACATGGCTGTGGGCCATACTGGCGAATGCAAGAGAGCTAAGACCGCAAGCTCCTGTGTCTAGGGGATTATGTATTCCCAAATTTTCGTGGGCTTGCATTGGCCCCACATCTTCTAGCCAGTGATTTCTGTTCGCAGGTTTGATTTACACTGACCCTAGTCGCCCCGACTCACTGTGCATGCACCCATCTTCCCCTTTGTCTAGTCCCTTTCCCAGTAATCTGTAGGGGAATGGGCAGGTGGTTCCCTGGGGAGTGTGAAATTGCAGCTTCCTGGTGAAGCTGCACAAGTGACATGCCTATGATATCTGGCCTCCCTTTTGCTCCTTTCTTATTATGTATAACTAGCTAATTACAACAGTAACAGTATCAAAGAATTTGCCTCCCATTGGGAGAGAGCGCAGGCTTACTGTTTACTGTAAAAGTGGTTGATTCACTAAGCTCAATGTTCCTCAGCTGTGATGCAAAATCAGTCCATATGTAGCATCTATCTGACACAATCCATTTGTGTCACCTTGTGGGACTTAGGAGTAATAGGATGCCAATGCATACTTGATGCTCATACTGCTTGCTGTGCTCTGAGTAATAAAGTTCTTTGTCTCTGAGCCAGGAGACTCTTGTATCATAGGCAGAGGGAGAAGGTTTGGAATAACCACCACAGCAGATTCTAGATAGGGAGCTAACAAAATATTGGATACGAAGCTAACTGGGATTTGTAGGACTCCGAGGGCAACTTGATGGGCTCAAACTGAACAGCTGCATGATTTTCTCCAGTAACAACCAGGATTCCAGGTGTGTAGTCAGTGAAGGTGTTTGTTTTGGACTAATCATGGGCAAGGAAGTTTGGAATGTGAAATTATTTTTTTCAAACTTTTGTGATATAATTTACATACAATAAACAACATATTTAAAGTATATAGTTTGATTAGTTTTGACATGTATATGCCTGGGAAACTATTACCCCAGTGAAAATAATGAACATTTTCATCACCCCAAAAGTTTCCTCCTTCCCCTTATCCCCATCCCCAGGCTCTCACTGATTTGCTTTCTGTCATAATGGATTAGAGTTTTATATCAATGGAATCAAACTGAAGAATTTTTTTTTTTGGTCAAAAACTTTTTTTGGTCAGCTGTTCAGAGTGCAAGAATTATTTTGTGGTTGTGTTTTTGGCATATTGTTAAATTTATTTATTTTAAACACTATCTTCCCTGAAGCTCATGAGATTAAAAAGCCAGTTTGAGCCCTGGCCAGGTGGCTCAGTGGGTTGGAGCATCGACCTGTACACCAAAAGGTTTTGGGTTCGATTCCCACTCAGGGCACATACCCAGGTTGTGGGTTTGATCTCTAGTCAGGGTGCATATGGGAGGCAACCAATCTCTTTCTCACATCAATGTTTCCTGTTGTCTCTCTCTAAAAATCAATAAAAACGTATCTTCAGGTGAGGATTTAAAAAAAAAGCCAGTTTGAGGGCTTCAGACAGAGCTAGTGAATTTCCTTCTTTTTTTGTACAAATGAATGTAGTTCTGATAATAACAAAAACTCTACATGCAAATGCCATTTTGGATCTGAAAATGACTTGAACATTAGAATGCACCTGCTAGTGTTGAAAACGTGGTGTGAATTTTCGTTACTGGATCTTAGCCTATTCAGTGTGATTTAGTTACCTGACTGCATGAAAGTAGAGTTCTTCACAAAGCACACTTGGGAATTTTTAAATTGAATGTGGTAGCTTAAAATTCTGATGGCATGGTAGCTGAGACTGAATTATTACCCCTTATTTTGTTGGTTTTACTTATTTTGTTTTGTACACCAGCTTTTATTTTAAAAATTATTTTATTTATTTATTTTTTATCCTCACCCAAGGATATGTTTATTGATGAGAGAGAGAGAAACATCTATGAGAGAAACATTGATCAATTGCCTCCCTTACTCGCCCCAACTGGGGATCGAACCTGCAGCCTAGGTATGTGCCCTGACTAAGAATTGAACCCACAACCTTTTTGGTGTATGGGACAACACTCCAAACCAACTGAGTCACCTGGCCAGGGCAGTACACCATTTTTTAAAAAAAGTCTCCTTTAAAAAAAAATTTTTTTTCAATTACAGTTGACATTCAATATTATATTATTTTCAGGTGTTCAGTATAGTCGTCAGACATTTATGTAACTTACTAAGTGATCCTCCAGCTTTCTCCTTAATAGAAAGATAAATGTGATTGTTTTAGTTTTATACCTAGGAAACCTGAGATGTGCCCTAAAGTTTAGGTTTAGAATTAGATTAGCAGGACACACTGCCTTAAAACTAGGGAAGTCTTTGGTATTCTGTGATATACACTGAAACCTGTTACTTGAACTAAGCCATTTCTCTGGTAGAATGATACTAGGAAATCACAGAGATTTAGTTTAGATCTTTATTGATTTATCTTTGAGAGAAATGTGGAAAGTAGGATAGCTATGATATGTTTTTAAAATTTGTTTTAATTATATTTGTAGGATATGACTATATTTTTCATTTTTAAGAATTAAAGCTTTATTGTAGTATGAGTATAAAAATTTATAAGTGAAGCTGAAGCCTCCACAAACATTCCCTTCCCCCCAGCCTCCCCTTACAATATGTTCCCTTCCCCTCTAATCATTGCTGTTTCAAATTTGGCAGTTCCCATGTAGGAATTCTTGATATAGTTTGTATTTAAAGAAAACACATATAAATAAATATGTCTTTTGTACATGTTAGATATATTTTTTTCACCTTGTTTTTTGTTTTCCTTTAAATTTTGCTCGTAGTATGCGTTTTTTTTGTATAATTTGTCATTTTGACAAATGACAAAAAAACTAATATATTCGTTTTTTTAATGGTTTTTGCTTTTTGTTTCTTATTTAAGAAGCCCTGCCTTAACTCAGGTTCACAGAATATTATCCTAAGTTTTCTTCTAACAATTTTAATAGTTTTCAGATGTATATTTTTAAGGTACATAGAATTTATTTCTGTGTACTGTGTGAAGCAGGGATGTGATTTTTTTCCAAGAGTACCAGTTGTTCAGACCCCACTATTGAATGATTTGTCCTTTCCTCACTGTTTTGAAATGTTACTTTTAGCATATACTATACTGGACCTAAATATTATAATTATACTAAGTAGTATAATTATAATTATACTACTTAGTATAATTTAGACTATTTTTGGGCCAGTACTATACCTTTTTAATTTCTATAGCTTTAAAAGGCTATAAGTCCTTATGAGAAATCCTGGGGGGTCAGATGTGATATTGGAGTCCAGATTTTCCGCCTGTAGTACCCAGTGGGCATTTTGCAGTATCCTGTAATCCTACCCATTGTTTTTTCAGTGCAGTGTACAAAGAAGCACACTAAGATACATATAAACAATAAGTGACTTTAGATCAGGTCAGAGTTTGCTCCTAAGTGAGTTAAAAAGAAGAAAAAAACCTTATTTTCAGATCTTTTTGGATTTTTGGATTGCAAATAAAGGATCGTGGCCCTGTAATTTATCTTGCTATTTAGGGGACACCTTCCTCTTTGTTCATTTATTTCAGGTTGTTTCGGTTATTCTTGACCCTTTACTTTTCTGTTTGAATTTTAGAGTCAAGTTGTTATGTGAAGAATCTTGTAGAGAATTTCTTTGGGATTTGAAGTAGTTGGGGAAGAACTGACCACTTTTACAGGGTGTGTGTTCTCAGCAATGAACATGGATATCTTTCCTTTTGTTCAGGTGTTCTTTCAGTAAAATTTTGTAATAAAAAACCACGTTTTTTTTGTTAGATTTATATCATTATTTTTATGGTTGCTATTGTGAATGAACTTCTAAAAAATTGCATTTTCTGATTGCTATTACTGATATGTAGGAAGTATTGCTATTTATATATCGATCTTGTGTCTGACAAATTTGTTGAGTTTTATTATTAGTTCTAATAACTTTTCATTTTATAATCTTGGGTTTTCCAGGTAGAAAATCGTATCTTCAAAAAGTTTTATCCTTTCCTTGGCAGTCACTTTTTCTTTTTCATTTGGTATGGTTTCAGTATTCAGTTTTTGGACATGTGAAATATTTTTAGAATGATGTTTACTGTGAAATAAATTGTGCTGTAAACAAATTTTGAATGCATGAGTAAATAGAGGATAGAAGGGAGATCTTCCTCAAGTGGGGGTAATGAAAAGTTTCTTAGAAGGGAAATGGTTACTATTGGAGGATTTACTGTGTGATCTTTTCATTACAGATATGGTGTAAGATATTTCTTCAAGACTGGACAGCCGAGGACCTGTTATTTCTGATTAGCCTTAAGCAAACTTACAGCCATAGAGAAACCTCACGGAGTTCCATATTTTGCTTTCTGCTTTATACCTTTCCTGGTACATAAGTTCATCTTGCAGCCATGTATGGAAGTGCTCGCTCAGTTGGGAAGGCGGAACCGAGCAACCAGAGCCCTGGGCGTTCTCCTAGGCTTCCACGTTCCCCTCGCTTGGGTCATCGTCGAACCAATAGTACAGGAGGGAGTTCTGGAAGCAGTGTTGGAGGCGGCAGTGGGAAAACCCTTTCAATGGAGAATATCCAGTCCTTAAATGCTGCCTATGCCACATCTGGCCCTATGTACCTAAGTGACCATGAAAATGTGGGTTCAGAAACACCTAAAAGCACCATGACACTTGGCCGTTCTGGGGGTCGTCTGCCTTATGGTGTGAGGATGACTGCTATGGGCAGTAGTCCCAATATAGCTAGCGGTGGGGTTGCTAGTGACACCATAGCATTTGGAGAGCATCACCTCCCTCCTGTGAGTATGGCATCTACTGTTCCTCACTCTCTTCGTCAGGCAAGAGATAACACAATCATGGATCTTCAGACACAGTTGAAGGAAGTATTAAGGGAAAACGATCTATTGCGAAAGGATGTGGAAGTAAAGGAGAGCAAATTAAGTTCTTCAATGAATAGTATCAAGACCTTCTGGAGCCCAGAGCTGAAGAAAGAGCGAGCCCTCAGAAAAGATGAAGCTTCCAAAATCACTGTTTGGAAGGAACAGTATAGAGTTGTGCAGGAGGAAAACCAGGTTAGTTTTGTGCTATGTTTGCCTTTACTGTCTGAGTTTGTATATGTAAGTGAAATGAACAAATGAACCATTCTTTTTTTCTTTCTTAGGTTTTTCCCTTCTTGGTTCACTTATCTTCCTGAGTACTATTTAATTTAGTATTTTCTGTTCTCTGTTTCTTGGCTTTTCCCAGATTTGGTCGTGTGCCTTAATTTTTTTTTTCTCCCCAGTTGCCATGTCCTCTGGACAACAATGAGGAGCAGTTCTTTCTGTGGACATTCATGGTAGTTTAACTTCAGGATGCTTATGTGATTTTTTTTCTTCTTCTTTTAGTTCTTTAACCGATTTAAGGTGGAAAAAAGTCAATTTGGTGTGATTGGGCTTCTAGAAAATAAATGCGATAACTAGGCATTATAATTATGGGTTTTGCACTTTAAGAGCTAAGTGCTGTATTATTAGATACTCATTTATTTATTACTTTTCTGCCCTCTTCCAGGTTATAGTTGATGTTTTTGCCATAGCCATGTTCCATTCAGTGGCTTATGACTCCAAAGATGTGGACAAATCATATTCAAACTGCAGCAGTTAAAATCTTAATTATACTTTATGTTTAAAACACATTTAGTACTTTTCTTCTTTTATTTCTTTGGTGGGTTTGGTTTTTTTTTGATATAAGAGAGATAGAGAAACATCAATTGGTACCTTCCTCACATGCCTCGACCTGGGATTGAACTGGCAGCCTGGCTATGGGGCCCTGGGGAATCAAACCTGCTACCCTTTGGTACACAGGATGATGCTCCAACCAACTGAACCACACTGGCCAGGCTCCACTGTTAACATTTTGATGTTTCTCTCTAATGAACTATCTCCGTGCATACACACATACAAATTTTACATGAAGGGAATATTATAGGTGTTATATTTTGACCTTATTTAAGACAACATTTCTACCACATATTAAAGCCTTATGATATATTTCATTATTTTTAATGACTGTATACTGTTGTGTCTGTACTAGTTAAGTTACCTAACATCAGAGAGTTAAAAATCTTCATATTTATTTGATGGTACAATATGAATTAAAAATTAAACCTTTAATTCATTTGAATCAGACTTCAAAATAATTAGTAATTATGATAATTTTATTCTTTCTCAGATATAACCTTAAGCTACTTTACTTTTTAAAAATTAAAGTATAGCTAACATACAAAATGCTTTTGCTTTTTAACCAGTGACTAAATTTAACTTGTCACCACAGAATCTGAATGTTTCGTTATTACACTTAAATCTCTAAGTCTTCTAGAGACCCAGCCTTTTTAAAGAAGAGGAAATGCCTTTAAAAAGTATTCCTCAGGAAGTTCTTTGAGTTTGAATCTTTAAGACTTTAAAACTGTGGAAAAAAAAAAAAAAGAACTAAAATAGACCCCAGTGTTAAATCTTGAAAGTAAGGACAGGCTTCCTAAATCCTGGCTTGGATACATCATTATCAACAGATATATTTGCCTAAAATATAGATTCCCAGGCTTTGCTTTATACCAACTAAGTAAGTATCTATGTAGATGGAGTCCAGGAACTTCTATTTTAAGTAAGTTTCTCTGGTGGTTATGATGATAAACCAGTGTGGGGATCCTTAGAATTTAATACATCTATTGGGGGAAAGCCCCAGAAGTCTAAATTCAGGATCAGTTCCGAAGAACTGACATGTAGTCTTACTCAAATTCCTAAGAGTTTTAACAGGAGAAACTTACAGACACGGGCAAAGCAGCTGCTAGCTCCCAGTGGTGGAGGGCTGGGAAGAGATCCACACCCAATGCATTTCTAAGTTAACAGATAATATCAGGCAGTTATTCACACTGTATACGTCCACCATTACCATTAACCTCCTTCCTGGGGCCTTGATGTTTATCTTTGGGCAGCATTCCTGCTTTCTGGGTAGTCAGCTAAACCTGAGGCTACGGAGAGTTAAATAGTCACAGAAGGTTCAACGGAGTCCAGTGTTGCCTTTACTGCTGGAGTCTAGTGCATCTCTGAGCTCCCCTACAACACCTGATTCTTAAACTAGTCTATTGCTCATCTGCCACAGGGAATTTGTGATGGTTCTATTGCCACTTTAGGGCTCAGTTGTGAAAGATGGGAAAAGAAACAAGGGGCCATTGCCTCAATGCTTCTCATCCTTTTTTTCTGTCATATTACACCTCAGGGTTGTGACAGATTCTTATACATAATGATTATTAACTGTGACAGTGTCCCTCAGTAGAAGGAATATGAGTATGGAAAAAGGGTGTTTAAAATCTTAGATATGTTTAGTTAAAAAAGCCATCCAGGTGATTTTGATGTCTCCTCACCTTGAGGAGATGCACAAGATAAAATACTCAGGTGATATATGACAACAGAATGAAGAAATAACTTTCCTTCATTTAAAATTTAAGTTGCAGAAAGTGAAGTAAAACATGAGAAGTTTATCATTCCTAAATGTAAAATAATAGTACATTTTGAAAGTTTTTCTAGTTTGGTGTTGAATTGTAAATATCAAGAGAGGAGTAATGAGTTTGCTTAATTTAGCCTTGTGGTAAAGTATCAATGTAGCATAGATCTTAGAAACTGTATCTGTATTCCTAATAATTAGTTTCTTTTAATTTTGTAAAAATGAGATTGATAAATTTGGAGTATGTACATACTGGTGGCATATCAGTGCTCAAATATGAGGAACTTTAGACAATTAAGCATCATCGTACATCATACTTGAATATTATCCAATCTCAAATGTATTGTTAATATAAAAATCACAGTTTATTTTCATTGACCTGAAAAGTGAGCTATAACTTACAAGTATTGTGTAAAAATTATACATGAATAAACACTTTACTTTAAAAGTTCTACCTTTTAGGAGTAGATTGTATATGTGTGTGTGTGTAAATGTAAATATAATATGTATACGTGTGTGTATATATAGTGTATTTATAAAAATCTATGAATATATGTATATGTGCTGTGTGTATACATATGTATATATATTGTGTGTATATATGTGTATATATACATACACACACATATATAATTCAATATTTTAAAAAATTTTAAAAATATGTCTTTATTGATTTCAGAGAGTAGAAGGGAGATGGGGAAAGGGAGATAAAAACATCAGTGATGAGAGAGTCATTGATCGGCTGCCTCCTGCCCGCCCCCTCCTGGGGATTGAGCCTGCAACCCGGGCATGTGCCATGGCCAGAAATCAAACCTCTATCTCCTGGATCATAGGTCCATGCTCAACTGCTGAGCCACGTTGGCTGGGCCGTGTGTGTGTGTGTGTGTATAAAATTAAAAGTGGATTTTGGTAGAAATTGAATTGAGGTTACTGGATCTATCACTGAATTAACTAGCCTCCAGTGTATCTTTTTGACAATGCTAAAAATATACCTATCACCAAGATAGTTTTTATTATCAAGCAACTTGGAAATATTTATTTTAATGAGGAAAAAATTATTGGCATATTTCTTTATTTTCAAAATATTAAGGCAGCTGATTATGTCCATACTTTAAAAGCTGTGTGGATAAAAAGCAATGACAATTTCCTTCCTAATTATCAAGCTACATACAAAGGCAAATATTTGAATCTCCTGAAGAGACTATAGTAGGGACAGCATTTTAGTCCAGTGGAAGTGAAACAGCCCATAGGACTGTGATGCCAAAAAAACCATATGTGTTGAAGGAGGGTGAACATTGCCTTATCTCGATTCCACCCCTTGCCCTAATTAAACACTAAGGCTGGCAGGAATGTATTCTTCCTGCATCCACTATAATTATCACACAATCCTAAAATTGTATATCTTTGGTCCAAAAATTGAAGGGTACAATTTTAAAGTAAAGTGAAACACTGCAGTGAGACATAGAGAACTGAGAATGCTAATTAATAGATTATAGTGAACCAGCAGTGGGTCCTAATTAAACTCTGCATTCATTATACTCTCCATAGCCCTCAAGGTCAGACATTTTCCACTTTACAAAGAAGATTGTTTCAATAGGATTTTCAATAATTTAACAAATTTTCCCATTTCAGTTTGAAACTGGGGATTTAGATGCATCCTAAATGTTTGATCAGCTTGGGCCACGGAGATCTTGGTCTAGAATCCTATAAAATGTAAAGGCACATTTGTAAGAATTGCCTAATATGTATGGTTTATTATTATGGAGTCCTTTTGGAAGATTGTTTCTAAAATAAATACCCAACTGTTTTTATGTCTCATTCCTTTTGTTACTGAACTTTCAAATATTGGTGGTTGGTGAGATGCAACAATATATGTTTTAACAGGAAAGGCCTTTTTTTCTTTTTTAAAATTGACAACAAGTAAGACTTTTAGTACATGTTTGCTTGATGAAGAATAAAAATCCAGTTGTGAGCTTGCTTGAATGGCAAAGCTGAGGCTTTGGATGCTTTATATTTTTATTTTATTCTAACAGACATCCAGCAAGATATTGTCATACTTTTTATTGTTATTATACCTTAGAATATTTCTATATGTTGAGTTTAGTTGGAAGCTTATTTTAAAAATAATTATTTTAAAGCACTTTCGTTGGAATTTTGTGCAGACAGAATATGTTCTGTTTAATATTATAGTGTGACAAGTGAGTGTAATATTCTGCTTTGTGTATTTTTTTCTTTTTGGAGTCTGATTTTATTCAGGATGCAGATTTTTTGATTTTGGTTATATTTAGGGATCAAATCAAGAGAATTTCAAGTTCAGAAATACAAAAAGATAAACTATCCCTGTGTGAATCTTGGTTTTGTCATTTGTCCTCACTGTTTGGACACAGGTAACTATTTAACATTTTTATTGATTTTAGGTTGTAACTTGGTTTGTAACATGGTGAAAGCCATTATTATTTGAATTTAAATAAGTTTTTTCATGAGGTTGCTAATTGTTTTACTGTTATTCAAAGTCCGATCTTAAAATCTGGGATCTATGTCTTAGATTATTTATTTAACTTTTCTGTTTGATAATTCTGATTTAACATACAGATGA